ACATACTTTAAATAATTCTGATGCATCAAATTTTAATAATTCATTTTTGAATAATCAAAACCAGGTCTAAATTTTTAATTTTCAATTATATTAGGAAAACTGGGTACGGTTGTGTCAGGGTACGGTAGTGACAGTCGTTATTACAAATACACTGATTTTGAAATAAGGTCCAAATGGAGAAAGTTGAAGTATTTTTGTTCGAACAAGTTTTCATTATTGCATTTAGTCAGCGCCTATATTAACATGATTTGTAGACCACTTTTAAATAGTCAATAGTAAGTTTTTTTGTTTGAATTATGTTAGTAATCTTCAAATTACCATTCAATTTACTTTTCTCTAATCTAACTGGTAAATCAACAAAATTGCAAAAAAGGGCACAACCGTACCCAGTCACCCATACTACTTTTTTAATAATTCATAATATTTTGCCTTGTGGGTTAATTATATTTTATTAACATCAGGTAAACTTTTGAGTCTTAAAACATCCATACTATGTAATATCATTATTACTTTTGAGACTGGACAACCATTTGATCAGGATAAATAAAATAAAAAATCTTCCAATCTTTTGTAAATATATCATACTCCAATTGATATTCTCAACTGTTGCACGTTGTTGATGTAAATTAAATTTAATAAACATAGCTATTTCGGGTCAGATTAGTTAAAAATTAATTATTTTGCCAACATATGACGTTGATGTAAAAACTTCATACTTGGATTGAAGTTCTTAACGCGTGCATATTGTCGATTTGAAGTTCAAATGAATAAACATATTTCATTGGCACTATTATAAATCCAAAATAATTATTAACATATAGTTTTCAATTTTTATCTATTTAGCACCACATTCTCCTCGTCGTCATAAACTGGATTTGAGAATGAAGTCACTGTCTTTGGACTCGCCAGAATCTTCTGAATTGCACGCCCAGAGACGAAGAATAACTCCTCCCAACAATAATAGCAGAATGAGCTGTAAGTTCGATTTTCACTTTTTTGCTCGATTAGTTTTTATTCACAAAATCAAGTTTTTTCTTTCTTTATACAAGAGCTCTGAAAAGTTGCGGTTTATAAATGCTTTTGATGAAACTTTTGTGGAGTGAATGGTAGAAACGTTGAATAATTTTTATGAAAGGAATATTTTTTTAACATTTTCTGTTATAGGTTTTTATGTTATAAATGTAAGGACGCAGAGATGGATATTTGAAGATATGTGTGTTTTATTGACATATTAATAGTTGATGGAAATTATTTTGTGAACTAACTTCAAACAATTAAAATTAATAAACGAATTAAAGTTTGAATTTTGCCTGAAATTTATTTGAAACAGTAGCTAATTATAAAAATAAGAAAATTAAACTAAACAATTTAATTCCTTGGACTGATTTAAATTTCTCGAACAGTAAGAATCAAGTAAGAATCAAATCATAAGTTTGAAACTTCAAAAATTTAAAAAAAATTGAAAATGTTTAGAATAATCAAAATTTTATATTTTTTATAATTTATTAAAAATAATTTTTAATAAAATAATTATTATTATCACAAAATAGTGCCTGACTGCACAGCAAATACTTAGCATTATGATAGTTTTTAGTGCCACTTTACATGCAAAATGCTACCTAACGTAGCCTTGCCATAACAAAAGTAATTTGAACAATGTTTCAGAAATATGTTAAATATTCTATATACAAATTAAATTTTTCGTGAACATCGTGTTTTTCAATTTTTTCTAATATTAGTTCGAAAATCTTGTTCTATTTATTTCGTTCCGCCATCTAACGTTGATGTTCATATAATATAGTGAGCGAAGACAAGAAAGGTTTATATATAGTAGTGAAATAGATATATTTTCACCATTTCACCTACTATTCATATTGTGATTATTGCTTTTATTTTTATGAAAATCATTGTTATTATAATATTATGGTCTGTATGCTGTAAATTGTACGTATACGTGCATGCCTCTTGTCTAGGCGTGAATATATCTCACATTTGGAGATTGTATTAATTTATACTAATATATATATATATATATATATATATATATATATATATATATATATATATATATATATATATGGTGAGATACGTCACCATTTTTCTAAAATTTGTCATCTGTCCTTTGTTACTCCATAGGCTGGGTATCCATCAGATAAATAGATACACTTTCTTATTTTTTATTTTAAAGGATTTTATGAAAAAACAGCAACATTTTTTTAAAATGCAGAAATAAAATTTTATGGGTGCATTTTTACAGAGATAACACTGTAGATAACCTTGATCTGGTATTTTGTCAGAATTATTCATTAGCAGAGTTGGAATAATTAATAATTTAACTTATCTATTATAAAATTGCTTTGTTTGCCTTTACTATTTACTATTATTTATTGTTTGCACCTTTACCAGGGTGTAGGTTCAGTTGGTCCTTTTTACCTCATCCAGGTCCTAGATTGTATAGAGGATTATACGGATTTATTATATGATTAATTCTCCAGTTTAGTAATGTAATCTAAGAAAAGATGTATGTACATATATAAGTATACATATATAAGTAAGTAGTAGTTTCTCAATAAACATTGATTTTTGTTTATATCTATGTATTTGTTGTTTTTAATAACATTATTCTTCATGCGAATTTTTGATTATCCGAATGCCTATTGACAACAATTAGTCCGGTTAATCGAGTTTTTGCCATTTGCCGTCTATCTTTTGATTGCTTCGACGACAGAATCAAGGTTATCGCTGGTTATACATCTTTTGCACTCTACTTTCAAATATAGTTGTAATAAAAATCTTAACTTTACTGATTTTTGAGATATTTGTGGTGGACCTTTTTACCTTTTTTTAGTATGGATGTTTTCGAACTTCCTTGCTCCCAGTGGCTCAAACGCTCAAAAAAAATTCTCTGAAACTGAAAGTATTAGCTCTTAATATTAATAACAGAGTAAGTCACTTTAGGATAGTCCAGCCAAAGTTTCTTGGTTTTTGTTCCTAAGAAAATACTAATTTTATGAAATATATCAAATTTTTGTTGTAAGTTATTTATTTATGATCAAATTAAGCAAATTCAATGTTAATCTCAAAATTTTGATTTACTTGTCACTAAGCTATGAATCTTTTCATATAAACTTTAGTTGGGGTTCAGACTATCTTAAAGATAATATCAAGAGCTAAAACTTTCAGAGAATTGTTTTTTATCAAGTTGGAAGCCTCTGGGAACAAGAAACTTTGAAAACTACCATATTAAGGACCACCCTAATATACATATATGTATATGCTACATTTGTGTGTAATTTTGGAAATATTATTAGACATTATTACCATTTTTGTGTATAGCCCCATCCAGCCCGAGCAACAAGCGCCTATTAGGCGCACGTGGCATGCGTACAGGTAGCGTAGACCTGCCCGACCAGGAGATGGAAAGGAGCCTCTCTTCGGCCAGCACTTCACCATGTCCGTCGCCGGTGAGATACGTCACAGTAGGTGCCGCACGCAAACGCATTTTTTTCTCATTTTAACGAATTTATTTTATAGTGCCAGCAAAAGTACTTGCAGCATTTCAAAAGCATGTACTTTCAAAGGTACTCTCCATGTATTTGCTCGCTTATAACAAAGTTAATTTTATAGACTAGCTAACTATATTTTTGCACGTTACTAGTAAAGGAAGTTGAAAAGTTTTCAAAATTTGAATAATGCATTCAAGCATTATATTTTATTATCAACGTAGTAAACTACTATGTTAATGCTGAAACTTTATTATTGCATCCTTAAAACTGCATTCAACTCGGTTCATTTTGTTTTACTTGTTTACGACATGGTCTATTTCTGTCTAAGGACCTACCTACCTACCAATGTACAATATTAAAATTATGAATGCTATATTTACAAATTGTCGCTTTTGCAGAAATTGTTTTTGCTAACATTTTGCTTATCTGCACATTATATATGATACTACTTAATCAGTCCATATTAAAATATGCTAATAACATATGATGATATTTTCTTAAAAACATAACTATAATAATAACTGGTAGTCTGCCCGAAGACAGGTCCATGATGTGGGAGTACCACATATCAATGATTCACATTCCCTTCCTTTTCTGTCATTCCCATTGCCACTTTTCCACCTTTTTTATACATTTTTTATGCGTTTTCCATTCCAAATTTTTGTTTCGTGGACCTGTCCTTCGGCTTTCAATTTTCTGTGCTTTCCCTCTTAATAACATATTCTAACTTATTTGTATTTTCTTAATAATATATCGTAATCAAATTTTAAAATTAATGATATCATTTTATACTAATTTACTTATAGAAACCCCATCGTTTGCTGCCAACTAATTTATACGCAGTGCTTTACAACTTTCAAGCTAGACATCAAGATGAACTTGATCTTCGTGCTGGGTATAAGGTAATTTATATGGATTAAATAGTTTATCATATATTGCTTCTAGCTATATTATTGTTGGATAAACAATAGCAATATTTTTTATATTATTGAATGTTTGAGTAAGTTCATCATTAGCTTTCCTTAGGGTAAGTTTGCATATCCTTACGTTTCAAGATCTTCTAAACATTTTGGCATACCTTAGAAAAATTGGTAAATGTATGTGTGTGTATGTGTAATATGTTTTTTTGGTGCGGATACAAATTTCCGTCGACGTTTTTGAGAGCACAGAACCGATTTAAATGATTCAGAAATTCATTCGATTCCTATAGACAGGAAGCCGGAGTGATTAGTTTCTGAGAGAATAGAGCATCTGGTTTGCAAGTTTCAATAACATTTTGTTTGTATTGACAGAGTGAAAAACTGATCACATTTTTGCCAAATTAGACTGGTGATCGAGATCCATTGACGTTATTGCTGGGTAAAAATTAAAATAATTGACAATTGGTGATCTGAAATTATAATTACAAATCATTACTAATAATTGAAATACATTTAGGAATATTGATATGCGAATGACATGTAGACAGGCGGACAGGTAGAAAATTGGGCAGATGGACACATAGACAGGTAGACAAATAGACTGGTAGACATATTGACAGGTAGAAATAGGGACAGGTAGACAGATAGAAAGGTAGACAGATATATAAGTAAGCTGGTAAACAAGTAGACAGATAGACAAGTAAGCTGGTAGACAGATAGACAGGTAAGCTGGTAGACAGATAGACAGATTGACAGGTAAGATGGTAGACAGATAGACAGATTGACATGTAAGCTGGTAGATAGATAGAGAGGTAATCTGCTCCTAATTAGACAGGTAGACAGATAAATTTTTTTTGTTCTCAAACCTTAACAGCAATCGGAACCTTATGTCCTATGAGCTGTTGACTCTTCCTTACTTCGTATTTTTAGATGGTAACCTAATGGTAACCCATCCATTTTAATGCAAGGGCTATTACCACTTGGAAACATATTGAGATAGACAAATAAGCAGAAAGATAGGTAGACATATAAACAGGTAGATAAGTAGAAAGGTAAATGGATGGACTTGTAGGCAGGTACAAAAGTAGCAAGGTATTTACTTGGACAGGTAAACAAGCAGACTGTTAGACAGATAGTTCATATACTATTGAAATATTTATTGATAAAATCAATTTTTTACACAAATCGGATCAAAATCAATCACAAACAATCGCTTACACCCGGTTTATTTTTTAGGTGACTGTTATAGACAGTTCAGATCCAGACTGGTGGAAAGGCAAGTGTTTGGGTCGCGTTGGATTTTTCCCATCAAAGTACTGTACACGGCTGCAAGCTGGTGAGAAGGTACTTCAGGTCACTCATAATGTGCAGACTGGTGATCGAGATCCGTTGACGTTATTACGAGACCAGATCGTTGTTCAGGTATATATAATATAAAGAAGGTAAATTGAACAACATGGTTAAGATTGTAACCGTTTTAACCCCTTGGATAATATCGTAGATGTGTTCTTTGTCGGCTATTTTAGGCATATTCAACAAAGCAGTTGAAGGTAATTCCAAGTATCAACATACACTGGTCAATGAGATCATTTGCAGTATTTAGCAATTCGTTCGTAAACTAAATTGTTGTCTTAAATAAACATAATGCTCGAAATTTACGTCGTAGATTTATTGTAGCAAACAACTTGTAACATTAAGCCATTTCGGGCAATTAACCGAAAAGTAATCAACGAGATTCAAACCGGTGATTCATTATAAGCTATGAAATAGTTAAAGAAATGTGTCATATGTTTGAAAACCAAACGCCTTATTAGGGTAATTATTATTCTGCGTAATAATTTCGAATTATTTATTGTAGATTTATTGCAGCAAACAATTTTTATATTTTCTCGATTCGCGCCTTTTATCAGATTGTAATCAACGAGATTCAAAACAATGATTCATTATTCGTTTGTGAAACGAAATGTGTCATATGTTTGGAAATTGAACGCCTTAATAGGGTAATTATTATTCTGCATAATATTTTCGAATTATTAGTCGTAGATTTATTGCAATAATTTGTATATTTTTTCAATTCGCGTGATTTATCAGAAAGCAATCAACTAGATCAAAACAATGATTTATTAATCGTTTATGAAATGGTTTGAGAAATGTGTCATATGTTTGGAAACTTAACATCCTAATATAGGCAGTAATTGTTGTACGTAGTATTTTCGAATTATTAGTCATAGATTTATTGTAGCAAACAAGTTATATATTTTTCCAGTTCGCGAAATTTATCAGAATGTAATAATCAACGAGATTCAAAACAATGATTTAATTCGTTTATGAAATAGTTTGAGAAATGTGTCATTAACGTCTTAATATAGGTAGTATATTTTCGAATTACACGTCGTAGATTTCTCGTAGCAAACAAAAGTTGTATATTATTCCAATTCGCGCGATTTATCAGAAAGTAATCAACGAGATTCAAAACAAACAACAAACAAACAATTTATTAATCGTTTATGAAATGGTTTGAGAAATGTGTCATATGTTTGAAAACTTAACGTCTTAATATTGGCAATAATTGTTCTACGTAATAATTTCGAATTATTTATCATAGATTTGCTGTAGCAAACAACTTGTATAATTTACACAAATTGCGAATCGTAGAAAAGTAATCAACGAGATCAAAACAATGATTCATTCGTTTATGAAATGGTAGAAGTAGTTTCAGAAATGTGCTTTAATATTGGTCTATTTTGCGGCAGAATCGGCCCATAGGATGAGTAAAAACGATCGAGATTTATTTAATAAATAAATATTATTGAGGAACAACACGGTTCCATTTTTTTCGTACTTTTTTATCATTACTACTTCATATTAGGCTATCCATGGGAATCCAACCTGGACTCTTTGTTTGTAAGAAAATAAAAACTTAAAGATAAATACTTACTTCTATTTATGTGATGGTACTTATTGTATCTCAGGCTGCGCTCTTCCTTGATATTTTTTTTCAGCTATATATTTCATTTGTCTCAAGAAACGAAATTATAAAATACTCTTTAACCAAAAAACAGTAAGATGAGCATTCGAAAGTGACAAATGAGTACAAGTCTTTGAGGTCCCTAACGTCGAAAGCGCGACTCGCGCTCGAAAATATATAATATTATTCGATGTAACAGAGTCTCCAACAAATTGTAAAAAGAATTTTGTAGCAGAGAAACATAGAAAAAATATGGTTTCTTTTTTAATTGATTCGAGTTGGGGGTAGGGTAGATAAAATCTTTATAAATAATTAAGGGTTGTTATTGATAAAAAAATTGCAAAAACAACTTTTTTGCAATCAAATTATTACAAAGTTTACTTTAATATGAGTGTAATAAAAAATTATAATACTGATCCAATCAGCACAACTGGAGATAATTAATTTATTGCAGAAAAAAGTAACAAATAAGTCTTTGAGGTCCCCGACGCGGAAAGCGCGACTTGCGCTCGAAAATATTTAATATCTCTTGATAAAACAGAGTCTCCAACAAATTGTAAAAAGAAAAGTTCATAGAAATTGAGCAAATCATCAATACTTGTATCGTAAATATTTACGTAAACAATTTTTTTTAGCAAAATCCTGAAATGCGTGGCAAATGATTTTATGTATAATATCTGTAATTAAAATTTCATTCAATTCTAAAATGTGATATTTTATTTTTCCCAAAATGCGTGCGATTTGTAAAAGAATGACCGATATGTTGACTATTACTAGGGAAGAATTGGTTGAAGTGTGATTTATCCTTTACAATTTCGGTAGGTCGGCGAAGAGAACAAGGGCCTAGTGTCCGTTCGCGTAGCTGACCGCCGCACCGGCATGTGCCCGGTCAAGTACTTGCTGGAGGTGTGACGCACAGAGAGCGACACAGCACGGCGTCGCGGCGTCGAGCGTCGCAGCACCGAGCAGCGTCGCACCACGTCGACTGCCTCGGTCGCCTCGACCGTGTGCCCATCGATGCGACGCCCTTTGCTCCTGTCACACCAGCCACTTCAGAACCAACAAACGTTTTACAATTTTTACCCGCAAACCACCTGCCGCGCGGCTGGTTATTACAACTCGCTCAATAGCCGAAGCCGACCCCTTATGGTCATACCGCCGTAATTTTCTGACTACAAAAATATACCCCAAAAATGTTTTCCTGTAATACATGTTTGAATGTGATACTTGTCTTTAAAAAATCAAACATATAATTAAATGGTTAAATATGTTAGGCAGAATAGATGTTATAGTATGGTTTAATTGTTCCAACATCCGATGTTAATGTTTAATCAGATTAATCATAGTTATTTGAATGTGGTGTGAATCTACTACTCGTAAACCGTGCGAGCTGTTCATGTTTTTAAATATTTGGAAGTGTTACAAAACATGCCAAACACTGCGAGATTAATAACAAATATGCGAAAAGAAACAAACGTTTCGAAAAGATCAAGGGACCAATTCTCGCATAAAATAGAAATGTTATGGTAATGCTATGTCACGGGTCTATATTCGTATGAATTGGTAGTAACAAACTGATACAAAACTACGTACTTGCTGTCAGGCGTTTTATACATAAAACCTAACTTTACGTACGTGTTATCAAAAAGACATCAGGAAATTCCACTTCATTGTTATTTGATGTTTGCTAAGGCGACCATGCGCTATAGTCCCGGATTTCACCTTGTGTCCTGGGTTTTTGTAAAAACAATACATATTTGTCCCGGATTTAGCTAATTCATCCAAAGTTTAGGTTTTATTGAACCTTCTTAATTACTCCACAATAAAATTACAAATACTCATCAAATATCTAAAAGTGATATATTCGAGTATGCTTATATGAAACATAGCGGTATAAAATTTTAAATACAATAAATCAGTCTTTCTCAAAGTGGGCGATATCGCCCCCTGGTGGGCGATATTGAACTCCAGGGGGGCGATGAAAGGCCTCGCGAAAAATGTTGGTTGTTGTATTGTATTTACTTTACATTTTAAAGTTTACCAGAATTTGTATCCCAACGATTAATTGGTACTTTCAATGTTTGGTCGTGTTTCCATGGTATTTGAATGATTTTGATGCCATTTTATAGCTTTTTACCAAAAATTAATATACCAATTTTCAACTCACTTGGAGTTAAATACTAACATATCCCAAAAGCATTTACCGACTGTGTTGGAAATTTTTGCATTTTTAGGCCAATGAAAAACGGCATTAGGGAGATTAAATTTAAATACTTTTATTAAACACAATTGTAAAAAAAATATTTATTCTTCCGATCAATTAATATTGACAATGCATGCAAAGATAATCATTCTATAATAAACTGTTCCAAATTTCTTTCCATGACGTAATCTGATCGGAAAGTTTTATTAGCGGCAAGGGTATATGTTCTAATTGTTTAAAAAAGGGTCATTTACAATACAATTGCTTTAAAAGATATAGATGTAATACCTGTTCTCAAAAACATAATACTCCATAAAGATAGACTAATTCACCAGGTATAGACAACCCCGCAATGATAGCGGTACATACAAATCTCCCGACGGGGGGGAGTGCACCTTTAACTACGGTAATTTTAATATTTAAAAATTTTTGCATATAAATATCTGTAATATTATAAATTGAAACAGTCTAGAAAAGTAGAGTAATGAGTGCAGAAGCATGTAAATTAGATCAAGATATTTCGCAAAGATAATAGTTGTTTTTATTCCTTTTTTTTGGTGACGGGATAATTCTATATTACAGTTCACTAAATTAACTTTTAAAAGTGATTGCACCCAACATTTTTCGCGTAATTTTTAAAAGAAAAGCCATGTCGCAAGCAAAAAAAAAGATGCGTCAGTACAATGCAGAATATATTAAATATGGATTCATAGAAAATTCTGTAAACCCATGTATGCCTTTATGCCTTCTGTGTTCAAAAACATTTTCAAATGAAGCAATGAAGCCCTCAAGACTTCAAGATCATTTGAATAGAATGCATCCGGATAAGAAGGATAAAAATGTTGATTACTTTCGAAATCTGGAAAAGATGTATATTGCTCAGCCTAGTGTGTCAAAACTTTTTTCTGTAGCTGCTAAGCAGGACGATGACGGACTTCGAGCGTCATACAATATCTCTCGGTTAATTGCCCAAACAGGTAAACCACACACTATTGGAGAATCAATAATTTTGCCAGCAGTAAAAGAAGTTATAACTACTGTGCTACATAAACCAGCAGCAGATATAATTCGCAAAATTCCTTTGAGTAATAGTTCTGTGCAAAGACGAATTGATGAAATGGCTGAAAATATTGAAGAATTATTATGCAATCATTTGAAGTCTTGTAAATTTTCACTCCAATTGGATGAGTCTACTTTACCAAATAATGAAGCATTGTTGTTGACTTACGTGAGGTTCATTAAAGATGAAGAAGTATGCCAAGAACTTCTATTTGTTAGAAATTTAGAGACAGATACAAAAGGAGAAACCATATTCAAAACATTGGAAAAGTTTTTTGATGAGAAAGATATTCCATTGAAGAATATTATATCAGTTGCTACTGATGGTGCTCCAGCTATGAGGGGTTGTCAAAAAGGATTCATAGCCTACCTAAAAAATAAAATTCCCAATGTTCTTGCTGTGCATTGCGTGATACATCGACAGCATCTAGTTGCCAAAAACTTAAGTGAACGATTGCATCAAGCATTGCAACATGTCATCAGAGCTATTAATAAAATCCGACACAACTCTTTAAATGAGAGATTGTTCAATCAGCTGTGTACCGCTAATGATGAAGAATTCAACAGATTGTTATTTCACACAGAAGTGCGTTGGCTATCAAAAGGAAATTGTCTGACCCGTTTTTACAATCTCTTTGACTCCGTTGTTGAGTTTTTAGAAAATAAGGACACACAGTTGTGTAAAGACCTGATATCATCAAAAAATGATATAGCATATCTCACAGATCTTTATGCATTACTCAACAATATGAATCTACAACTTCAAGGCGATGGCTTAAATTTAATAAAAACAAAAAATATCATCGCTGCTTTTATAGCAAAACTGTTATTACATAAGAAAAATATTGGCAGACGGGAGTTTCATAATTTTCCAAATTTATCGGTATCGTGCAACGAAGACTTGCTCGTGTACTGCCAACATTTGGAAAATCTTCATGAAAATTTTATTGAAAGATTTCAAGATATTTTGAATTTGGAAATACCAGGCTGGGTATTAGACCCTTTTTCAAATGCAAATGTAGAAGCATCAGCCCAGCTAGAAGAAGAACTTATAGAATTAACAACAAATGAAGAGTTAAAAATCAAATTTAAAGATGGATACCAACAATTTTGGCTACAGAAGTCAATTCAGCACTTATATCCTGGCTTGTGGTTGGTTGTTCAAAAATTTTTACTAGCATTTCCATCGTCATATTTGTGTGAACGTGGATTTAGCACTGTGACAATGCTACTTACTAAAAACAGAAATCAGTTGCAAATTACCAAACGCGGTGACTTACGACTGTTTTTGAGTGCAATGGAACCTGATATTGACAAACTTGTAAAAAACCATCAAATTCATCCTTCTCATTAGAGTTTGAAAATAAAATTTTATATACTGTTTATATTAATTTGATTATAATATATAAAATATATGATTAATGTCATAAAGTTGCGTTTTATTTGCTTTCACTGGTAAAAATGTTCAATTTAGAATGTAAGGTTGCATCAACTAATATATCACACTATAACTATATTAATAAAAGTAATAAAAGAAACAGTTTTCAGAGATTGTATAAAAAATTTGGTAGGGGGGCGATGGAAGGAATAAGTTTGAGAAACGCTGCAATAAATGGTTGATATAGAAGGGTTAAAATAGCCTCTCCATTAATAATTTTGAACTTTTATTTTTATTTTTATAAAAATTAGCAAAAATTATAAAAACGAACTTTTTGACTGCCTGACACAAGTGCTAATTGTTACTAACAATAAGTTAATTATGAAGAAAGCCAGAGGCGTTATCGAGCCGGAACGCTCCGGAACCTCGCACCAGTACTTCTTTTTTGGACAGGAACGCGTTCCGGAACTAAAGATGATTTAATATAATTTAATTTCTGATAACAATTGGCTGACGTATTAGAAAAAAACATTATAAGAAATGCTCTTTTTCCAAATTTTCGGCAATTTTAATATGTAGAAATTATTAAAAACAAGGGTTCTTAACCGAACCCGAACCGGAACGAACCGGCTTGTTTCTCCGAACCGTGGACCGGAGTTCGCAAAATTTTTTATCTGCTGAACTGGAACTCAAACCGAACTGAAACAAATACGAGAACTCATTTTTAAACCGGTTCTTTATTTTTGCGTTCTGGTAAAGAAATAGCATAACACCTTCAAAGAAAATTGAACAGAATTATATAAAAGGCTTAAAAGTGAGAGAACGTTTGTGCGTTTTGTAGGTTAGGTTTCATGTGTAAAACGGCTGATCGCCAAGCAATATCTTTTTGATAGTTTGTAACTTCTAACATACACGAAGATAGACCCGTAACATAGCATTACCATAACATTTCTATTTTATCCTAGAATTGATCCACAAGATCTTGACTCAATTGGTCGCAGCACAAAATCAATCCCTTTACCATCGCTCGGTTTATCGTGTAGACATCTTTGTTCGACGTTAATGATAGATAGATATATTATATATTATAGTTTATCATAAACAAAAATTATACTATTTTATAAAAAAAGTAATAGCTTTTGAAAAAAATTAAGACTCTTAAAACAAAAACAAAAAAAAGTTGATCGGTGAATTTTGATAACAAAATCAATAATTGAATACGGTATTGTCATTTTCTGAAAATATTTAGCTGTGGAAACTAAATATTTATTA